AACATGTATGATAAATATATTTTAAGAAATTAAGGAAAGGCTTAAAATATGGATGAAGACAAAGCAGATCTAAAATAACCAAGCAGAACTTTAGAAATGAAAATAATATACACTAAAAACTAAACAGATAGATTTAACAGATGGTGAGACAAAGCCAGAGAAAGAATTAGTGAACAGAAGAATATTTGCAAAATTATCCAGAATTCAGCGTAGAAAGATAAGAAGAAAGAAACTATGAAAGAAATGTTAGGAAATATGTAGGGTAAATGAGAATGTGTATACAGAGTCCCAGAAGGAAAGGAGAGAAAGAATGGAGTTCAGAATTTTCCAGGACTGATGAAAATCACTTTTCATCAGTTTTAAAGGTCCTTGTGTTGTCTGGCAGAAGGCTGATGGATTGATAAACTCAGAATTTAATGAGTTAAAATTTGCCTGTTAAAATTAGGACAACCAATATATATATTAGATTTCAGTATATATATATTAGATTCCAAACTGGAATCTAAGAGAAGTGGAAGCATTAAAAAAAAATCAATAATCCCAAAGAAGGGAATGGGAAAGAAAAAAATATAGATCAGAAAAAAATAAATGGGGAGCACAACATTAGATGGCAAAAATAAATCTAAATATATCAGCAGTTATAAAACATGCAAGGAGCTAAATGCTTGATCTAAGAGTTGAAGATTATTAGACTAGACTAAAAGTCAAAATTAACATGAATTAGATAAATCTGAAGTGTAATGACTTAGAAAGTTTCAATATAATAGGATAAAAAGAGTTATAGTAATACTAGGCAAATACTAATCAGAAGAAAGCAATTTAAGGGTGTCTGAGTGGCTCAGTAGGTTGGGCATCTGAGTCTTGGTTTCTTAGGTTGTGATCTCACGGTTTGTGGGAGGGAGCCCTGTGTTGGGCTCTGCACTGACAGCACAGAGCCTGCAGGCTCACTCCATCAAAATAAATAAACTAAAAAATAAATTTTTTTAAAAAGAAGAAAGCCATTTATATGCTAAGACAAAAGCATTACTAGAGTTAAAGAAAGTCATAGCAAAATGATAAATTAACCAGGCAAATAAAATAATTATAAACTGGTTTGCATATTATAACACGCCCCCCAACTATACAAGGCAAAAATTGACAGAACTATAAATTGATATGACAAATGTACCAACATATCAGGAGATGTTAACTCATCTCTTCCATGAATGAATTGTCAAGCAGATGCAAGTTCAGTAATAGAAGATATCAATAACACAATCATAGTAATAGAAGATATCAATAATAGAACCACAATGCATGATCAAGGTCTTTTGTCTGTTGCTGTTTTTTTTGTTTTTTAGGAGCTGCGGCCTTCTAATTTAATTTTGAGAAAAACAAACAGGTTTAGGGAGATTGAAAGTTCCTCATAATGGCCACTGCAGTGCTAAATTACTTTTGGTTAAGTTGATCCATTTAGTTTAGAAATGTACATGAGGAAGGATCATAGTTTTTAAACATAAAACCACCAGGGTCCCTAGGAACCGGGGAGGCGGGGGGAACCACCACTCACAAAGCATTTTGATGACTGGGATTCCATTTCTTAGAGGTTTTTTTTCTAGAGCGAAGAGAAAAATTCCTCAACAGCACAATTTCAACAGGAACATCCTAGTTCTAGAAGGAATCAGACCAAAGGCCAGAACAGTCTGGTTCTGAAAAGGAATTGGATTGAAGGCCAACACACTTCCAACAGGCATAGTTCCACTAGAAACAATCTGGTTCTGCAAAGGAGTCAGACCAAAGAACAAACAAGTACTCTCAGGAAGGGTAGGCCTTCAAAATGGAACCTGAGTGAAACAGGGAGAGCTGAAACACAGAGAGAGCAGAGCTCTAAATTTGGGAAAAAAACTTACCCTCAAACTCCAGGGTTGGCAACTAAGCAGTGGGCTCAATTGGCTCTGTGGTATCTGTTTGCTCACCAGCCTCAGAGTTGCTGGGGGTCTTCTCTGGATCCCACTTCTGATCACAAAGTAATATTCACCTTAAAAATAAAACTGTCATTTTTTTTTTTACCAGCAAAAATAAGTGTATTTGGGAATAACAGAGAATTGCAATTTGGGATAAGCAAGCTATGGAAAAACCATAGGCAAGATCTGACCAAGGACGTATTTTTGAAATACCTTGCCCAAGAACTGCTGAATATATAAACACATGCAAACAATTTAAAATAAGCTTAAAACATTAAAAGAGACTAATACTTTATAGACAGTGTTCTCTGATAACAATATAGACAATGTTCTTTGACAACTTTGGTCCCTAAAAAATGTTAATACCAGTTGCTAAATAGAAAATATTACTGCTGAAATATGATCTTGTGAAGATGTAACATCAACTTGAAGGTTTTCCTTGTGCACAACTACTCTATCAGTCATATAATAGTTCCATATGAAATAAGTAGTGCTAAAATTAAACCACTGGCTTCAATAAACATACCACCAAAATAAGTGTATAAAATTTTCCTTTTACAGTAATTTTTAACAAATCGTGCAAATTGTGTCCATCTGTGTCTCTATCCTTCTACCTCAGTAATATCAGAATAGACAAATCTCCTGTCAGGCTAAAAGCTGGTTTAAAGAGTTGCTTTGTGTGTACATATGCAGTGTTTTCCCTTCATAAATACTTAAGATAAATTGAAAAAGATAACAATTTTATATTATGCAGAGGTACAACTGTCACTTAAATCCCAGCAAATGGATAGAGAAAACAATTGTATTAATATTTCCTTACCACTAATTAAAAACTCCTGATGTAGGCATTCCAGGTACATTTTTGTTTTTTTTTTCTTTTTCTCCTTTGGTAAAGAATTAATTATAATGAAAGAAGAAGTTTGAGAACTTTAGTAACAGTTGGAGCAGAAGTGGTTTTTAGTTTGGAGAATTTTTTTTCAAGGTTTTGGACTATGGTAACTTTTTTAGGTAGAAAAAAGCTTCATTTGGAAAAAAAAAATATGTGGTATAGATGGCCTAATTGTGAAACTGAAATCCACAGAATAATTTCTTAAAAGATCACACAAATGTGTAGTGCTTTTTAACTTGAGTATCACGTTGTTCATGTGACCTACAAGTAATAATTCCCATTTTACAAATGTAGGAACCGAGAAACTGAAGTGTCTCACCCCAAGTCAAGCTATGATGGCACATCATGCTTAAATCTAATTTTGTTTCCCTATTATGTCCTGACCTTATTTTTGACTGTTAGGTCTGTGGCTATGAAATATATTTCACTTTGTTGACCAAGTAACACCTTTGGCAAGAATGTTTAAGATCTGAATACTGTGTTTAATGTTAGGTTTTTGCTTCTGAATTCTTTAATTCCCAAAACTCCTTGTATGGCTTTTATGACTCATGACTCACACCCTATTCATACCACATTTGGTTTCCTCTCACCATCTTGCCTTTTGCATGAATAAGTTCTGAAGCAACCCCTATTTGGATGAAAAACACTGTGGCCATGTGTCAAGGTGGTAACGTTAGCGGGAGAAGCCTTCTCCAGAAGAGCCTGTGCAATCTTTTAAATGTGCATTGTGAAACTTTTTCTAGATTCTCTTCCCAGTTGATTCTAGATAAAAGGCAGAACACGGAGAGCCAGTACACGGTAGCAGTGAATATCAGCATCAAGCAGACCTGTTCTGAAATCCAGCTTTGCCATTACCCACTGGATTAGGTTGGCCTGTTTCTTCATCTATAAAATGCTGATGCAATTTATCTATCACACAGAGTGATGGCAAGTACTGTGACAATGCATATAACCTGTTTAACAGGTACTTCAGTGCCCTGTAAATCTTATTTTTAAGATCTTATTTAAATAAATCTTATTTAAATAAATTTAAATAAAATCTTACTTTATTTATTTCTAGGAGAGAGAGAGAGAGACAGCGTGAGCAGGGGAGGGTCAGAGAGAGAGGGAGACACAGACTCTGAAACAGGCTCCAGGCTCTGAGCCGGCAGTCAGCACACAGCCCGACGCGGGGCTCGAACCCACGAACCGCGAGATCATGACCCAAGCGAAAGTCGGTCGCTCAACCAACTAAGCCACCCAGGCGCCCCTGTAAATCTTATTTTTAGATCGGCCCCTCTCACCCTCAGTTGGGCCCTCTCTGAGATTCCTAGACTGCAGTTCTACGAGGCTTGCCGCTTGGAGAATGTGTCCAAAGTGAGTTCTTGGTATGCTGCAGTCCTGTGGCATAAGAACGTCTGGCTTCCATATGTGCAGCGAGTGGAGCACTAGCATTTTGCTACTTGACAAGGCTATTTAGCAGGTGCACGTGTCTGAGCATTCCTGAATCAGGAGGGGGGCAGCTCTGGATTTCAGATAGCAGTAACCGGGACACAGCTGGAGTGAGGCAGGAGCCAAGAGCATCAACTTGAGCTCCGAATGTGCAGTCTGAAACGAAATGAAACGGCCTAAAACGAAGAAGGTTCTAGCAAAAAATATCTATTAATTAGTGATCCAATTCCGTATGCATGTGGTGTGGAAAATACTGCAAATCGAGGTACCTTTTCAGTTACTTTGCTTTTGGGGTGGGTTGTAGCCTTGGAGCCTGGACTGGACTCAGAAAGGAAGTCCGCTGGTCCGGGGCTGAGGACACAGGGGGCACCTTGCGTTTCTGGCTCGGTTACAGAGCGGTACGTGGCTCATCCGGGCAGACACTTGCGCTCCCCTCGACCCTCCGGCCCGCGGAGGACCCCGCCCAGTGTCTTCCTGAGGCTCCGGCCCGCGGGCCGCGCGGCCCAGGTGAGGCCGGCCCCGCGCGCGCCCCTTCCCCCTCCCGGCGACTTCCTGGTTTGCAGAGGCGCTGGAGCAGCCGCGGGCGGCCCAGGTCGCAGGAACTGTGAGGCCCCAGCCTCGGAGGCGGCGGGGGCGGCGGCCGGTAGAGACGGGGGCGGCGGCCGCGCCACCGCTGCCGTTGCTGCTGTCACAAAAAGGCTCCGGGGGGTGGGGTGGGAGGCGGGGAAGCGCCGGGGGCGCCGCCGACATGGGCCCGCCGCCGCCGCCGCCGCTGTGAGTTGCCTCCTTCCCCGCTGGGCGGCCGGCGTGCGCGGGGGCGGCGCGACCCTCCGAGCGCGGGGCAGTGGGCTTCCAGGCCGGCGCGGGGGCGGGACGGACGGCCCCACACCGACATGTAACCATGGACTGCAGGACCAAGTGAGTGGGGGCGCGGGCGGCCGGGCGGGCAGGGGGGCGCCCCGCGGCGGCCCCCCAGACGGCGACGCCGGCCCGGCCCCCGCGGGTGCGCGGCCGGCCGGCGGGACAGCGCTAGGCCGCAAAGCCTGTGCGGCCCCGCGGCCCCTGCGCGGCGGGGTCGGCGGGGCTCTCCGCGAGCTGCCGGCGGCGCCGGGTAGACGCCCGCGTCTCTAGGTGGTGGTGGAGGAGGCCTGGCGGCTCCTGCCGCCACCCGCTGTGGGTTTCTTGTTCCTCCCGGAGTGTGGCAGACGTGACTGTGGGCTGTCTGCGTCTTGCTGGTGTCCGGGAGGGCGTCAGCGTTGAGGTTAAGCGATTCATATTTAAACTATTTTCCTAACGCGAAGATAACCGTTTCATTTTTAAGTGTAGTTGTCAGTTTATCTGAGAGGTTTTCCTCCAATTTTTCTTAGTCAATTGGTCTCTGATATTTGCTTACATAGGTGCTAGGTGTATGCATGGTACTTGCAAAGTGGTATCCAATTAGATAGTATTTTTATGTGTTTGCTAAAGTACACATTACTGGGTATTTTTCATCTGGACATTGATTATGTAGAAAGCAATTTGTGTGAGTTTTACGTGTTTTTTTCCTAAAGTTACTTCGCAAAGATGTTCTTCCTCCTTTACTCCCTGTTCACACCCCTCCCCCCGTTTAAAATAATGAATACTATTTATATTTGTATTAGTATGGAAGGCTTGTTAGATTTCACAGTGTAATTGAATCAGTATTTACTTTTTTGCACCTGAGAGAGATTTTAAAAAATATTAAGGAAATGGGAAAATTATGTGATTTAGAATTATTTACTTAAGTGTTTGATATGGGAGGGGGCAGCATAAGTGATTTAAAAGGTATACTTTTTTACATTAATTGGATTATGAGGGAGGAGGTCACCTAAGTCTGTATTCTTTCCATTGAAACAGGTTAATAGTGGGAGGGCTGAGGATATGTATATTTCCAAATTAACATATATAGCTTGTCACTCCCTGTGATCTTAGATTCTTGTAATAAGTTTAGAAAAGTTAATGTTTATTTAGAAGCCAAAACTGGCATTAGCTTATTAAACCAAGTGCATATTAAAAACAGCCAGCTTGCAAAGACACTAAGGTCTCCTTAGCAAAAATAAGAGTAACACTTTGGTCACGTGGACATTGTAGTCTCAGATTTTGCCTCTTATCTTCCAGCAGAAAGAGATTAAAACAGAACTATGTCAGAAAATGTGTAGGTTTAAACTCGCTTTTTGAAATTAAGCTAATGAATAGGTTGAATGTATGAAAAGTTAGTAAAGAAGGGGATAACTTCAGAATGAAGCAAAGAAACCTTTTGTTGCTAGTGGGAAAATGTAATATTGAGGCAGATATCTAATTTCTCCAAAGATAATTGACATAAAACCAGATTTTTGTTGTTAGCCTTGCGGTTTATATATGGTTTGCTACTTTAAACATGCATGGCAGTAATTACATCTCAACAGAAGCATATGCAAAGTGTCACATTTAAGGAGCGTTGTAACTTTTATGGTGGTCTAGAATGTGTAGGTGGAACTCGATATTCATCATTTATACGTATATTGCAAATCCTTTAAAAAAAAAAAGCCTAAAAAAAAGCCTGAGAACGTTCTGGCCAGCTTTGTTTGCAGGAAAAGGTGGAGATACTTAGGAATATACTGGCTTTCCAGTTTTGATTCAATGAGATAAAGTCAGTGCTTTACATTTATACAGTACTTAATACTTTGTAAAGTACTTCCATATATATTAGTTGGTATATAATCCTCACAGTTATTCTTCGAAGTGAACAAAGCACCATATAGGTGAAAAAACAGGCTGAGGTTAAATGTTTGCCGCAGGTCTCAGAATTCCTAAGCCTCTAACATTACTGAATTGGGAAAAAACTGTTATTTTCTACATTGTGCTCATCTAGTTTAATGGAATATATTGCATCGAGAACAAGATTAGTTTTTTGAGTTAAGAAAACATAAACTCTGCAGAGATATTGATTTGTTCTAAATATAACAAAATTCTTTTTTCTTTTAGGGAAAATCCAGAGAGGACCTTTGACTTGGTATTGAACGTGAAGTGTCATGCCTCTGAAAATGAAGGTATGTGTATTTTGTTAGTTCTTAAAATAGTTGAGTCTATCAATAATAAGTGTTAGTGTGGTAGACTACTAGAACATAATGGTATTGGGATAATGGTGGTACTAAATGTATGTTCTGAATGTAGCCTCTTAAGCTGCTGTTAATAAAATAGATGCTAGGTCTTTGCCATGAGATTGTAGGAATCACGAATGTTGCCTATAGAGCTTAATTTTCAGGTGTACATTAAGGCCATGGAACTCAGCTTTACCATCTGTTGGCAGAATGATGATTAGTTTTGACAGTAGGGCACACTTGTCATTTTCTTCCATTTGTCTTTGAAAACTTAGCTCCTTTTTTAAACATTAGTGGAAATTCTCCTGCCAGGATGATGGGAGCCACACCAGGCCCCTTCTAAGGTTTCCGGAATGCAGAGTGCAGACTTGAGTAGCCCCTTCTGTTGGATTTACTCCAGGAGCAAAGCACTTTCTGAGGGAGGTAAATAATAGTGTGACATTACTTGGAATGGTTTGAGCTTTCAGTTCTATATTATTTCCTGAAAAGAACACTTTTGTCAGTTTTTTCCCCGCCAGTTTGTTATATGCAATATGCATGCATCGGGGGGGAGGTGTGGTACAAACGAAGAACTCTCTCTCTTACTTCCCTTTTGATGTGCCCTTGTGTGGTGTGTTTTCATGGATATCTCTGCAGTGTGTGATTTCACTTATAGTGTACTCAGATTGTAGGTAAATCATGGTGATTAAGTGTGGGATTTTGTGGAGAGTACTTGCCCACTCTAAAGACTTGGTCCAAGGTCTGCCGACACTCTTAGCCCTAGAATCTGGCCAGCAATTATACGCTCTTCAGCAATTTGGAGCTGCACACCTTAAAATAGAGGAGCCCAACCCAGCTTGTGGTGAAATGGACCTGGCTAATTTTAGGTACAAAGTCACACATGTGCCTGACCCCACCAGCCGTGCCTACTATCCTTCTGGCCTCTATGAACTATGGCTGTGATCAGGTTTGTCCCCAGGCAAGGAGGGAGCCTACCTAGGTTGTAGGGAGCTTTTTCAAATTAAAAAGGTTATCTTTTGTTTTCCTACATGTATTAAAGTTAGTCTGTTTATGTTCTTTCCAGGCACAGCTAAGTTCTCTTTGAAGACTGAAATGGATACATTATTTTTTCAGCTCCAATTTAAATCTGTTCTTTAGTGTATTTATGGTATGAATAAGTCTTCAGAATACCTTTGCCATAACATTGGCTAAGGTGGGTAATCCTCACCTGATGTGTTTGTAAAACAGGCTGAATTCCTTTGGAAAACATAATTACTTTATAATTTTAAATGCATGCCAAAGTGATTTTGTTACAAGGATCAATCTGGCTTATATAACACTGATCTGTATCACGTGTCACAGAGATTGTGACCTTTCCATAATGACTTCTGAGTGTTTTGCTCCTTCCTTCCTCCCTTTGCCCTTTGCCATTTTTTTAGGAACTAGTTATTCCAGTTTTTATCTTCTACTTCTGCCCTTCTTTTATTCCTTACTTGCCTTTTTGCTGTTATTGTTTAAATCACTAATTAGAAACCTCTTCATTTGTATTTTAATAGTTTATCGAGCAGAGTGAAGTTGGGAATATGACAAATGGCTAAAATAAACACTTTAGCCTCTCTGTAGGTTGCAATGAATCCATTCCACCCATGTATTCCATTAATATGACTCCTGGGCAGCAAATTCTAAAGATTTAAAAACAATTTTTTTAACATTTATTTAAAAATGTTAGTTAAATGTTATTTAAAAACAGAGAGATGGAGCATGAGTGGGGGAGGGGTAGAGAGAGAGGGAGACATAGAATCTGAAGCAGGCTCCAGGCTCTGAGCTGTCAGCACAGAGCCCGACATGGGGCTTGAATTCATGAACCGTGAGATCATGACCTGAGCTGAAGTTGGATGCTTAACCAACTGAGCCACCCAGGCTCACCTCTAAAGATTTTTAAAAAAGCTGAAGTCAACTATATTAAAGGCATAAGAAACTGTCTTTTTTAAAATTGTGACTTAAATAGTATGACTATGACTAATCTTTTTGGGTCTAAAAAGTTATACTTTTTGTGCTTTAAAAAGTAATGCCACTCTATAACTAAAATTTTGTTAGATTGAGAGTTTTATGTTTCTAAATGTTTTTATTAATTTTCTACTTTATTGATAAACATTAAAGGGAAAATGACCAGAAATTATTTAAGAGAGTTACTGGAATATTCCTATTTAACTGTCAATAAAACCTGTTTGGTTTAATGAATCTGATATATGCATCAGTTTGTTTAAAATAGGATAGTTTTTGTTGTTGTTGTTTTGTTTTTTGCTAGTCTTTAAACGAAGATGATGACATTCTTATACAGTAATAAGCCTGGAAAACAAAATGTGTAAGTTAAGATGTTTGGGGCACAAATGTAAAACCAATTTAAGTAATGAGTGAACTTGATAGTTCATATAAGAGGAAGTCTGGAAGTAGGGTCATCAAAGATCCAGGTTCTTTCTGCGTCTCAGCTCTGCCACTCATAGTGGTATCCTTAAAGATTTAAATTCCTGGTTATAGGGTGGTTGTCAAGAGAATTTGGAACTCTACTTTCTCTGTTATGACCTTGGGAGTAACAGACACTGGCTTTTCATGGAACTCTGTTTAGAGCCAGAACATTTCTTTCCCAGAAACTTCCACAGCATTGGATCTCAGTGGCCTCAGTTGGCATGGGCCTAACCGCTCCAAAAATAATCATTGGTGGAGTAGTGGTAGAGGGATGAGTGGCAAGTGGCAAGTGGCAATTATCATGATTGATTATTACTAAACAACTGGCTAGGAACAGATGTTGGGAAATCCATTAACATGCTCTCTGCACTTCTTAGAATATTAGTTTATTTTTTGAAGATTATCTTTTGATCCAGTAGAAAATGCTATGTTCAGGGTAAACTTGTTTTATGCTAAGATTGGTGATATTGCATGAAGATAGTTGGCATGTTTCTCTTGTTCACTTTCTAATAGGTTTAAAGTTCTTTTATCTTGTACAGTTTACTTCACAAAAATCTTCAGAGACCAATTACTATTTAAGTTTTAGTTGGTTACTTGAAATGGTATTAGTTGCTGAAATATAACTTAATATAGCCAGCTCTGATAAAGGGGTGATCGTCATCTGATTGATTGCTATTTGAGCTTGCTTCGAAGACATGATGTTGATTTTTTGACAACACATCTCAAACACTGAGAAATAGTGTCATATGGAGGCCTCCCCAATTAAAAAATTGCCATGAGAGTAGTTGGTAGTGTTTCTCTATTGTGTCCCCTGGTGTTAGTAGAATTGGTGCTTATGGTGTGTGACACATTGGTTGGCCCATATTTTCATGGATGTTTCCCAGGCGGGACAACTCCCCTAGTAACTTCTGCTGCAACTATCCAAGAGTGAAGTGCCGGAATTTAGATCTTAATACTCTTCCTGGTAAATTTCCAAGGGAATTGCTATTGTCGCTCTTCTCTTTGCTGTCTTTCATATTTCCCAGCAGTCAGCAAAGTACAGCCAGCAGTGATGGCCTCTCCTCAATTCTAATAGCAGAATTTATTGTTACCACACTGCCCCTACATTCCCCAAAGTGATTCAGGACTTCAGGGAACCGAAAAGTAACACTTCCTCAATGCCGAGTTGAAGATGCCTCCTCTTAGGGTTTTTTCTTTCAGGCAGTGGCCATGGTACTCTAGCTTTCTCTTTTACATTTTGTTGAGAGCTCTACCTCCAGCAGCAGCAGCAGCAGCAGCAGCAGCAGCAGCAGCAGCAGCAGCACGACTGCTAATACTCACATAGCACTTTGTGCGGTGCCCAATTCTAGCTGTTCTGCGTGTGCTAACTATATAAATCTCATGAACATCCTAAGGGAAGGAGGTGCTTATCTTCATTTTGCACATGAGGTAACCGAAACACAGAGAAATGAAGAAACTTGCCCAAGTAGTCTCACTACAGAGTCTGATTAGTCTCACTCCAGAGTCTGTATTTTAATCTGCTTTTTAATAGACTTAATCTAATTTTAAAATTCTGCTCTATTGCCTCTCATTGTATAGTAACCTCAAATCAGCCAGGACAGGCTGCATTGTTACCATGCAAGGAAATATTAGGGTATAAACTACATGTGGTGCAGGTATATATTTTTTTAAACAGGAATACAGTGTTTTCCCTGAAATTAATGAATCCAGGGTAATTCCACATAAAAAATTACTGAGCTTTTCCTTTGTGGTTATTGATGCTGGCTCAGGATATCCCCCTTCCCCACACCATTCTTTTTTTAAGATGTTTGTCTCTGTGTTTGATGAATCTTTTAATTTCTTTTTAATGTTATTTTACTTTTGAGAAACAGAAAGACAGGGCATAAGTCGGGGAGGGGCAGAGAAAAGGTGACACAGAATCTGAAGCAGGCTCCAGACTCCATGCTGTCTGCATAGAGCCCGATGCAGGGCTTGAACACACGAACTGTGAGATCATGACCTAAACTGAAGTGGGATACTTAACCGACTGAGCCACCCAGCTGCCCCAGTGAATCTTTGATTTAATAGCTCTAGTTATTTATTAGTAGTTTTCACACATCTTTAGCAAATTTTGTTTTCTATATTCCTTTCTCCTTTCCTAATTTCTCTTAAACAAATCTCCCTTTGCTACTGACTTTTTACTTTATAAACCCATCCAACTCAGTATCAAGTTATCCCCCTTTCTGATCTCTAGTTATGTTAAACAGCTTAACTGCCTCTTACTCTTTTCTTAAATGAGAACCTTAGGCCAGAGAATCCTAACTTACTAACCCCCATGCCCTTCACAAGAAAGGGTATTTCTATTTTTTTAAATTTTTTAATGTTTTTTTATTTCTGAGAGAGAAAGGCAGCGTGAGCACGGGAGGGTCAGAGAGAGAGGGAGATACAGAATCTGAAGCAGGCTCCAGGCTCTGAGCTAACTGTCAGCAAAGAGACTGATGTGGGGCTCAAACCCACGAACTGTG